CTACATTCTTCAAATCTTTTTTCAGTAGTTCATAAAATGAAAAAAAACTACTGTGTATATATACCCAAATGGAATTTGAAAATTCTATAAAATTGTTCCTTAACATATATTACACTGAACTTAAAAGATAAGAGGTTATTAGTAGTCAATAAGTTTGTGGCAGTTCAATTATTCATTTTTTGATAATCATATTTCAAATATCAAATACTATATACTTTATTAGATGAGTTTTATATGCCCTCCTGCATGAGTGTATCAAGTGTCTTTAAAACAGCTGAACTAAGTATTTCAAGTAATGTAGGTGCACCACTAATGCACATGGTTATGAAAATAATGAACATTTTATTATCTATTACCCTTTTGTTCTCCATGTGTTTGTCCAGGCTGGTCAATGTAGAACAGTTTATTTCTTTGATAAGAAATTAACTATATATTTAGCTGCTCTGCCTTTACAAATGTTTGGTCTACAGAATAAGTTGGAGAATAAACACCATAAGTATTTGTATTGCAGTGGTGTTACCATTCTGACGTCTTGTGTTAAAATCATACTGCCACATTCCACCATCCACTATGAAATTAATGCTCATTAATGCTTAAGGTATGGCTCTCCCCCAAAATAAACAGGCTCACACTCATCCATATTTCTATTTGAAAGTCATTTGGAACATGATTTTATATTCAAAATAGGAACTGTTTTATCAAACCCATATTCTTTCTTATAGACTTTTTCCTATTTTTAATAGTGGACTATAGTTTACATAAGGAGGGATTTGATGTTATATATTTGCACATGGACTCAATACAACAATACAATTTGGCCAATATCATTCTCCAGTATGTCCCTTTTCCCTTTCCTTTCCTTCCTTTCTCCCCTGGTTGCCTTCCTCTACTCTACTGATCTCCCTTCAATTTACTTGAGATTTCTCCCCATCTTTTTTTTTTCCTTTTTCCTTTCTAGCTTCCATATAAAACATATAACCTTGACCTTCTGAGTTTGCTTATTTCACTTAACATAGTTCACTCAAATTCCATCCATTTTCTTGCAGATGACATAATTTTATTTTAGCTTATGACTGAATAAAACTGCACTGTGTATATACATTACATTTTCTTTATCCATTCATCCATTGATGGACACCTAGGCTGGTTCCATAGTTTGGCTATTGTGAATTATGCAGCTATAAATATGGATATACATGTATCATATGGATAACTTTAATTCTTTAGGATAAATCCAAGAAGTGGAATAGCTGGGTGGCTCGTTCTATTCCTAGACTTTTGAGGAATCTCCACACTGATTTCCATAGTAATCGTACTAATTTACAATCATATCAAAAAGTGTTAAAATTGTTCTTTTTTTTCCACATCCTTTCTAGTGTTTATTATTGTCAAATAAGTATCATTGTTTTCTCCTTAGTATTAACAATAGAATGGATTAATATTTGTGCCGGGTTCTTGTCCTTACATGAAATGCAAGACATAGAAACCAATCATGTCAGAAGTCAAGAATGAAGGTTCATCTCAACACCAACTCTGCATGAATGTATGAGTGGCTTTTGTAATTATTTATGTGGAATGAATTCTATGTTCCTTTATCCTTTTGGGGGTTATTCTGAGAAATAGCCTCATTTCAGAATAACAATTTTTACATTTTTTTATCTCAACTGTTAACTTAAGATTATATTCAATACCTTATTCCTGAGTCACCTTGTTTAATAGCCCTCTCAGGCTACTCTTGAAATGAAAAATTCTCTCCTGATGATGCAGGAGGAATGAAGGATGCAGAACCACTTGAACCAGATAAATTTTGCATTACATACTCAACTTCATGAAGAAGTGTATTTTAAAATTTTTATCATGCTCACCAGCTTCTTATTACTGAAACCATTGTGTTCCATGTAAATTCACCAAAGAGAAACATAAATAATCCATAAAACATAGCTTGTATTTTCTTTTTAAGAAAACACATAAAAGCTAACAAAAAACTATTTAGAAAACAATGTAACCAAGAGATTTCTAAATCTGCATCTTCAGATATCCTAAAGTGCTGGTTCTTAGTTTGAAAACCCTGCATTTCATATGGATTCATGGAATCCTTAAAGTTTTTTTTTTAATATTTTTTTAAAATGTACTACAATTAGAACATTTATGTGAACTCCATTTGCTAACATGGGAAGTGCTTCCTTGATGTTTTCAACTTAATTTAGTTGCACTGATGATCTCATGCTGACCAGATGCTTTGCTTAGTAGACTGGGGAGGAGGACATGGGAGCCTATGGTATCTGTAATTACAAAATGTGGAGAAAGTAGCATTCCCTATGACTGTTTACGTTATGCAGTCTTAAAATACTGATGAAGTTAATAGATATAAAATGACAAAAGGGACCTTTAATGATGAAAGGGCCTTTAAATTTTCATTTCTACACTTTTTTTGGACTTAGCCAATTTTCTATTGCTATAACAAAATACACGAGGCTGGGTAATATGTTAAAAAAGAGAAGTTTATTTAGTTCAAAATTTTTGAGGCTGAACATCCAAGATCTGATAATTCATCTGTTTTCTTCTGGTGAGGGCATCATGATGGATAGCATCACAATGGCAGTAATGCATGCATAACAACACATGGTGGGATGTGTTGGAAGACAGACAAATTCAGAAGCCATATGCTTTTTTTGTTTGTTTGTTTGTTTGTTTTTTATAGCAACCCACTCTTGTGGGAACCAACTGAGGTTCTATGAAAACTATATTTACCCTTTCCAAAGGTACACCCCCTTGACCTAGTTATCTTGCAGTAGGTCCCATCTTTTAAAGGTGCCATTGCCTTTGTTTTCAATGTTGCCACACTGGTACCAAAATTACAGCAGATGAACATTCAGGGGACATAATCAAGCCATATCTAAACCATACCAGCCTTCTTTCATGCATCTTAAAATTTAAGTCTGACAATTTGGTTAATATGTATTTCTTTTTTTGGTTTTGTGTTTCCTTTCTGCATTAAGACAGCATACTTTGAATCTAGTATTAAAATAAACTTATTCTATTCTTCATTTACATGTTTTATTCTTTGGGCTTCATGCTTCTATAAAGTACCATAATCACAATCTTTATGTAACCTTGAACTAGAGGTTTTCCCATAGTTCTTTGCTACTTGTGTTCCTCAATATCAAAGCCAGTTTACCTATTACATTTTCTATACAGTCTTTATTTGTCCAGGCAAAATGTGTTCAAATATGATTTGGTATATATCGATACTTGTAGATATCCATCTTTCCCACTAAGAATTATACATATGAACATATGGGAATTGCCCACCCTCATATCTATTTCTAAATAGTACACAATTTTCAGTCATGCACCTGCCATGTTGTTCCCCTAGTCATCATGTTTGAGGACTGACAATGAACTTAGTCCCAGGAAGAAGTGTGAACAATGTCAGCCACAGTTCAGCACTGCCCATGGGGGTCTCCTCGGTGGTAAAGACCTAGTAGCAAAATGGATCTGCCGATCCCTCCTTCCTTAAGGTGGAGAAAGTTTTGGTCAAACAAAAACTTCAAACAACCCAATGTCCTTTGGAATTCTATTGAAAATATAAAGCATCCTGATTCCCTGCACCAAGACCCTCTGCTCTGGGGAACCCACTTGTAACGAGGATTTCTTTTTCCTTTCAGAGAAGTGATTCCTGATCTGGGTGGCTGTCCTCCAGATTCTCCTCTACCCCCAGAAATTTAGATGTATTTGGCAGCCTTCCCATTTCTGACTCCATTTCATAAACTTTGAACTGAGGTCACCACAAAACCTTAGAGCACAATCTGAAAAAGGAAGGAATTAGAAATTAAGATTTGGAACACTAGAGGATGCACTTTTTACCTAAGTAGGGCCAAAGAAAAGATGATGGCTTTTCCCTTTGGAATAATTATTTCCCTTTTGAAAAAAAATTAAGAATCATTGAAGGAATATTTGTTGTGGACTTTTATGTAATTTTTCACCTTACTTAGTATTTTTTTGCATTCATATCATGCACAAACTGCTTTCTCACCACATTTAATTCTCAGAGCAGGTCTGGTAGTTAGAGAAGCAAATATTTGCCTTTCTATTTGTGAGCAGGGAAACCCAGAATCCTATGTCTAGTTATGTGGATCCCAGTGCTTCAGCACACTACAAGCTAAGTTGTTTGATTAGGGGTTACACCAGTTGAAGTATAGAGTAAAATCAAATGAAAAGAAGTACCATTATCAGTTTCCTATAGTTAAAGATCTGACTAAGAAGAGGATTTTTATGAGCTTAGATTTTACCCTAAAATATTTCCATGTAAGAATATTTCATTCTTCTTAAAAGCTGAGTAATATTTCATTGGATACATACACATGTGCATGCATGCACACAAACACACACACACACACACACACACCCCACATTTTCTTTATCTGTTCATCTACTGAAGGTCACCTAAGTTGGTTCCATAGTTTAGCTATTGTGAATTGAGCTGCTATAAACATTGACATGGCTGCATTACTGTAGTATGCTTATTTTAAGTCCTTTTGGTATAAATCAAGGAGTGGGATAAATGGGTCAAATGGTGGTTCCATTTCAAGTCCATTTCAAGTTTTCTGAGGAATCTCCATAGTGCTTTCCATTACTCAGCTTTAAAGAAGAATGAAATTAAGGCATTTGCCAGTAAATGGATGGAGTTGGAGAAGATCATGCTGAGTGAAATAAACCAATCCCCCAAAACCAAAGGCTAAATGTTTTTTTTTTCTAATATGTGGATGCTAATTCACAAAGCAGGGTCAGGGGGGCACTAGAGAAGAAAAGATTTAACTTAGATATGACAGAGGGAAGTGAAGGGAAGGGAGGGAAGAGGATGTGGGGATAAAAAGGGTAGTAGAATGAAACAGACATTATTATTTTATGTATAAATGAGACTGCATGGCCAATGTGATTCTACAACATGTACACTCAGAAAAATAAGAAATTATATCCCATCTATGTATGATATATAAAAGTGCATAAATGCATTCTACTGTCATGTATAACTAATGAAAACAAATTAATTTTTTTAAAGAATATTTCACTCATCACTGGAATGTCTAATGAAGCTCAGGGTGATCAGCATATAGATGGGTCCAGAGGTCCTGGAAAATAAGAAAAACTGCAATCAATATTTGAATGCCTGGCAGGGCTAAAGTTTTAAGACTTAAGTGGAACATTTGTAGCAGAGGAAAAACAAAACATGTAACTTTTATTTAGGACTAGCAGAAGAAAATGGAAATTAATTGAACATAGAACCTTGGGCAATCTGAACCTTGAAATCATCAGTGGCTGTTGATAGAGTATCCTCTGACATTTAATCATGCCAACATGGGGTGAAATTCAATATTCAATTGACTTTTTGTTTAATATTCCATTAGGATATATATGCAATTGACAATCTAGAAATCCGTTTTCTGGCTTAATGCTAAAAATTGTATGTTTTTCCTGCTTCTAAAACTAAGTAAGTCTCCACAGTGTTCTGTTTGTTCTTCAGAAGAACCAGTTGGTAGCAGTCATAGTGTAGCATTTAGTAGTTCCTCTCATCCATTAGCAGAGAGTGACAACATGTTTCAAAGAAAAAAATAGAATAATAGTAGCTACAGACAGATCTTTTTTTGTTTGTACTATTGTATATGTAGGTCATCTTAAAAAATCAAGTCTTCTCATGTAACTCTAGACTGGAGGTAGCTGTAGTTTAGCAAGATCACTAACCTGTATCAGAAACCAGGATTCATATCTATCTTTCCACTAGGGCAAGTCATTTAGATTTTGTAATTTTCAGTTTCCTTAGCTTACCTCTAACATTCCTCAAATCTAAAAGCTATTATGATTATGTTAATGTTTTACATTCATCAAACACACTTGGCAGTTACTTTCCTTTATTTGTTGTTATCAAAGTGATAGAACTTCTGTCAGTCGTACAGCTTTGCATGGTATGTTTTTTGTTTTGTTTTGGTTTTTTTGATTGTAGAGCTTTTATTATCTCATTCTGCTTGGTTCAAAATCTGGGAGGATATTTTGAAAAGTATAAGTAAAAATGTATATTTTTCCTGTTGCCTTAGGTCCATATGGCTTGGCCTAGCAAAGAGACATGCATCTGGAACAGGGATTAAGGGAGAAGACTTATTCTGCATGGTTACAGAAGGCAGAACAAGGATTAACATTTGGAATACATGGAGAAGTAGTGTAAGCTTAATATAAGATGTATTTTTATTTATGAATATTTCTAGCAATAGAAGTATTAAAAGTAAGAAGTAATGTTATAAATTGGTGTTCTCTCTAGCATTAGAGAACAGCCCAAATTAGGCTTAATGACTAACAACCAGAGATTTATAAGGAATCCTATTTCGGTGTAGGAGTTGGATTTGATTGCTTCTGATATGCTCGCTTTTATATTAACATTACCACAGTCATCCCTGTTGTCCTCCCATCTCCATTTTTCCGCTCTTTCTACTAACATTCCATTTTTACAAGAGTGATAAAGTATCACCATGAAAAGAAAAATAAAATCTGTCACTTCCTCAGCCTTTCTCACAGTTAAGCATGGCCATATGATGGAGTTCTGGCCAATGCCATTCAAGATGTGTTATTGCCAGGACAATCTGCTGGCTGTAGTTATAATAGCATTTGCTTCACCTCTCTCTCTTTCTCTCTCTCTCTCTCTCGCTCTGTCTCTCCCCCCTCCTTTTTTCTTTTCTTTTTTTTTTTTCCTTTTCTTTTTTTGTTTGTTTTTTGAAACAGTCTTACTATGTTATCTAGATTATATTGAACTCCTGTTTCAAGAGATTCTCCCAACTAAAGGAGAGTACAGGCCTATAGGCCCATAGGCACCACACCTGGCATATATTCTTTTTAATTAGAAAGAAAATATAAGGCGTGAGGTACCACAGAAAAATTATTAGGATAAAAAAATGGCAAAGTAGAAAATAAGGGCCTGGGTACTTGAATAATAATCTTCAAGTAGCTGCACCAGGCTTGATTTGTCTTCCCCAGGATGCTTTGTTCTTCTAAAATGAATGAATTACCAAGTACAGTTCTAACTGATACACTTATTAATTATACTCATAACTTCCTCTTATATAATACTTTATGGTTTCTAAATACGTTGTGATTTAGACATGATGTTTCCCCCAAACGTTCATATGTGAGACAAGTATGTTAGAGATGATTAGATTATGCACATTTAAACTAACAGTGGATTAATACACTGATATGAATTAACTGGGTGGTAACTGTGGAAAGGTAGAGTGTAGCTAGAGAGTGAAGTTACTGGGGACTTGCTTTTGGGGTTTGTTTTGTCCTTGGTGAGTAGAATTTGCTCTGCTTCCTGGGTGGTATGTTCCCCGAGCTGGTTCCTTCCACCATGCCCTTCTGCCATGAAGTTCTGTCTTACTTTGGGTTCAGAGCTATGGAGTCAGCTGACCATGGACTGAACCTCTGAAATTGTGTAACAAAATAAATTATTCCTCCTCTACATTTTTCTTCTTGGTCTTTTGCTCACAACAACAACAACAAAATAAATCGTACTAAAACAACATACATTTGGCTTCTTTCTTTTTTTTAATTAATTTTTTATTTGTTTAAATTTGTTATATATGACAGTAGAATGCACTTATATACTTTGATATATCATACAAAAGGGATATAATTTCTCATTTTTCTGAGTATACATATTGTAGAATAACATTGGTCATATAGTCACATACTTACATAAAGTAATAATGTCTGTTTCATTCTACTATCTTTCTTATTCCCACATCCCCTGCCTTCCCCTCTTTCACTTCCCTCTACCTAATCTAAGGAAATCCTATTCTTTTTTTTTTTTTGCCTTTATACATGTACATCTTTTTTGCATTACAATTCTTAATACACATATATACCACATTTTTTGTAACCCTGTTTATATATAAAGTATGTTGACACCCAATTCAAGTCTTCATATATGTACTTTGTATAATGATATCCATCACATTCCACCATCCTTGCTACTCCCCTGCCCTCCTCCTTTCCCTCCCACCCCTCTTCCCTATCTAGAATTCATCTATTCCTCCCATGCTCTCCCTCCCTATCTCACTATGAGTCAACCTCGTTATATCAGAGAAAACATTCTGCATTTGTTTTTTGGGGATTGGCTGACATCACTTAGCATTATCTTCTCCAACAATATTTGGCTTCTTTCTGTGTGTTGTCTCATTTAACCTTACAACAACCCAGGGAGAAATCTGAACATTTGTGCAACTTATTACTGGTTAAAAATCTGAATATCCAGAAATTAAACTATTTGTACATTTAAGTAGCATAGCAAAAATTAAAATTCAATATCCTGTTTGGGAAATCAGCCAAAACTACATCTCTAAAGAGTTTCCTACCTTCCACATACCAAGTAACCACAGAAGCCAAATATTAAAAGGTAAGCAAGGAATTATTGAAAACCTGGATAAGAGACTGTTCTCTTATGAAGACATCAGGATTGAGTGAAATGAGTGATATTTAGAAGCTGTCTTAGAACTTTAGATTGTGCAGAGAAGAGTGAGGAGAAGGGTGGGGCTATGGGAATAGGAGGACAGTAGAATGAGATAGAGGTTATTACCCTATATACATACATGGTTACACTACTGGTGTCACTCTGCACCATGTACAGCCAAAGGAATAAGAAAGTGTGCTCCATTTGTGTACAGTGTATCAAAATGCATTCTACTGTCATGTATAACTAATTAGAACAAATTTAAAAATTAAAAAAAAAAATAGAAACTGTCTTGGACATGCCAGAGTAGGAGTACATATGCCTTTTTTCTCTCGTTCTCTTCCATACCCCAGGAAAATCCACAGAAGTTTGTAGAAGTACTATGTAGTGTGTGTTCAATTCACAGCCTTATACATGAAGAAATACATTGACTACTTCATGAAATACTTCCACCAGCGAACTTCACTTGTTTAATGAAACAAGCCCATTAGGAGGCCATAGAATAACTACCACATTGGAAGTGCCATGGCCATAAGAGGCTGATTATCTATCATCCCACAATAATGACAGGGCTGAAAATACTGAAGAGCCCTTAAAAAGTTTTACTGACAGCTGTACTTAAACCCTTCCTGCACTGTGAGCTTGGGGAATTTCAACATTGCCTTCAGAATCAAAAAACCTAAGAAAAAAAGTCATAAGGGCCAAAAACATCCTTAACTGCAGAATAAGGATCCAGAAAGTTCTTATTTTTCTTAAAGAAATTTGTCACCAGGAGATTTAATCTATATAAAGGTGTTCTGAAGAAAAAGGCAGATATCCATTGCCCTGGGAAGAACCTTTCAGATTTGCTGATTCCTCATAATGCTTCCACGGGAAAAGAAAAAACAACTGGATTCATGCCTTGTATGGGAACCTGGTGTCTCAAGACTGGTATTTGATTTCCACAAAGAACTTGATACATTAGTTTGCCTGGATTATCTGAGGATGGTAATGTACTCAAAAGGAGGTACTCTAAAGGGTTTACTTTCATGCAAATAAATTGCTCTCATAGTCATGTTATTTAGTTACTTAATTTATCTTACTGTAATAATGATAGCTGCTTTGCTTTATATGGACCAATGTCTGTATCAACAGTTACAGATTGCTCAAAGGAAAAAATGCACATGGAAATAGCAATATTTAGAAAATTGTAATGTTATTATGAATTAGTAACAAAAGAATTCTAATTGTAAAATGATGAAATTTTCTTTCCGAAAAGAAAGAAACCTCTTTGCCTTTAGGATATTGATGAAAACATAACAGACCTAATTACAGGCTTGAACTTTTGATTTTATAATGCAAAGTGTTGACCTGGCCCTTAGAAGAATCACATTCCTCTGAAATTAACTCTCAGGAGGAGTATAAGATTTTACCTCAAGGTACATGCTTGTGTTCTCTCTTGCTCTATCTTCATAGTCCAGCCTCCCGGATTTGAATCTAATTATGTAACCTACTCATTAAAAGTCACTATGTTTCAGTTAATATGCACATTGTGAAACCTACCCTAAATAAATGTCAGATCTCTTCATAGGGACTGTGAGACAAGCAAAGGAACTACCAACAAGTGTGTTTCAATACAACTGCAGAATCCCTAATGCACTGATGAGGCAGTCAGGATTTTTAAGCTATCCTGAATTACTGTTTCCCTCATGCTTTCGGAGTCTGGTCTTGGTATTACAGGTCCATACGCAGAATATTACATGTGATCACTTAAAGTGATTAGGATCCAGAAAGCTTGATTTATGCCATATGGATTCACAAGGCATTCATTTATAAAATTTGTGTTAGAAAATAATTGTGAACTAAGGCCAAATCCTTAATTAAACGTAGGGAAATTCAATACATAAAATAAACATTTGAAGGTTGCCTAATGGAAATAGAAACATACAAAAGATGCCTTTAAAGTGAAAACACTTGTTATTATTAATTATTATACATGAGATGCTCAATAATTAATTTTTTATGTTTCATGAGTAGAATTTTAAGAACAGTTTGATTCTATAGCTCTAGGGCAAACATAAACTTGCATTTTTATTTCTAAAATAAAAAGGTATAAGTATTGAAGATTATGAAGTTTTAAAAGTTTAACTATCATATAAGCACATTCCTAAATTAATAAATGTATTTCACTGAGTTTTGTATAAAATATATATTAATATTTAGTTTAAAATAAATCTATTATTGAGACTCTTGGTTGCATATTAACAGAATATATCACAAAGTATATTATGCAAAGGAAACTTTATGTTCCATATAACTGAAAGTCTTAGAAGTCAGATCATGGATGGATTCAGTAGCTCTTATGATATTATCAAGCCCAGATATCTCCTCTTTGTCCAGCTTTCATTAGTTGGCATTACTCAGATAACTCCCTCTACATGTTACTTGGCAGCTTCAGGCTTGTACATGCCTAGTTAGATTCTCTCCTCTTCTGGAATATAAAGGAAATTCAGCTAGGTGATTGTTACCTTTCTTTCAGCTCAAAATTCTATGATGTATAAGTAACTCACAATAACTACTGAGTATATAAAATATCTCCTGATTTAAAGAGTGATTGTTCAAAATTGAGTGTATATATATATATATATATATATATATATA